ACTTTTCCTATAAATAAGAAAAAACTAATGAAAAAGTCTCCGATTGCGTAAAATAAATCAAAGTCACTTCAAGAATGTTGGCCCTCATTCCTCTGTGTGCAGGATCAACAAAAGGCTTCAACCTCGAGAAGTGCTAAAACTTTAATCTGCCACCTGAGGACAGAATCCAGCATGATTTCCTCAGCCACTCAGGAGAACAACGAACAATAACAATTTGCGAGGCACAGGTGGGGAGACGAAACATGGCTGGTAATTTGTTTGGAAAACCTGAGAGGGTTGTTTTTCTAAATGAATTACAGAGCCGATGCTTTGTGTCTCCTCTGCGGTTAAAGAATTGTGTCTGACGTCACGCCCGTTAAACCTTTGCTGGTGAGTTTGCAGTCTGTGTCGCCTCTTAAAAGTCTCTCATTTCTGATCTCTCTCTCTCTCTCTCTGTTTCTTCCTCCCCTTTGTCTCCCAGTAGCAGACTGGGGAAGACACGGCCCCAGGTCTAACAAGCCCACACATGATCCCCCCGTATCTTCCTCTCTTATTATCCAAGCGCCTGATGCCAACACATGCATCAAATGACAAAGCGGGCTCCACATGTAAGCATTGCTTTATTATTGTAATTGCAAGCAAGAAAGGCCACAAAGACACAGTGTGAACAGTAGAGGTCGTCTACAACTCTGGCACAAAGCAGCTTTCTGGTCTGCGACGACTCTGTGACGTCACACTGTGTGGACGTTCAGGAAATGTCAACTTCCTGTTTGCTCCAAGATCATCCAAATCAACAGTATCGGCTTCAGATTTGCGTGATCCAGCTCGGATGAGTTGGACCAACGCTGTGTATTTTATCATTTCCGGTGGAGAACAAAAAGCAGTGTTCAAATGACGATTTCAATTGTTAAGGGAGAAATGCGGTCAAAGCCAATCTGGCTCTAAAGCAATGAAAGTAATCGTTCATTTATTATTACAAAGTCTGGAAATCTGAGGTGAGATTCAGTGACTACACACCGACCTGATTGATGTAAAATCAACAACCTGCCTCACAAAATAAAGAAGGCTAAATTATTTCGATAAAGTATTACTGATATCTATCAGTCTCCAAAGGGTTATGCAGTTATTTCAGAGGATTCCGGCAAACCGCAGTGAGACCATTCAGATTTAGGAGTTGTCTATTCAGTAGGGACTTAACTTCAACTGAGGGATGACTTTAAATAGGCCATTTATGAACAATAGCCCTGTGCTCATAAGGTTTAAATGAGAATTACTTTCTCACAAAGGTCCACTATAGTTTGGATAGCTTGGTTATTCAAATAAAATGCTTTTTTTCCCCCCCTCTTCAAATAAGCTATCTTTGCCTGATATAAAAATTGGGTTTCATACGTGAAATGAGAAGAAATCTGTGAAGCTGCTCATACCGTATCCTTGTTTTCCGTAGGCGAGGTGAGGAGGGATCTTGACCAGGCTCCTCTCGTTGACACACATTCCCACCAGGGCTTTGTCCATGCCGTCAATCAGCTGCTTTTTGCCAACAAACACGTTGTAGGTGCTGCCGCGATCGTAGCTGAAACAAAAACACACCCAGGTTAGAAAGACTACAATGAATTTCATGTTTAAAACTCAAATTAGGAGTTAAAGCCTTTTGAAACGAGTAAAAACCTAAATTCAAAAAAAAAAGAAAGCCATTAATGCATATCATATTCATATTTTAGCATCTTAGCCGTTTGCTGTGTCTAATGATAACAAACAGAGGAAAGTAAAAACTTTAAATTGAGGATTGAGGAGAATATTACTAAAAAAAACTCAATATATGTGAATCTGCAGAAGAATTATAGTCTGGAAACCTGTACTAGAAATTTCTCCTGATATGAGTTTTTCTGGTCTCTGGTTCTGGTTTCCTGCTTGTAATTAGTTAGGTGTCTTCATCATGGAGGAGATTTGACTTTAGTCACAAAAGTCAAATGTACTTTTGTGAATAAGTCATGTTATACAGCCACAAGCTTCAACATGTATCATTTGATTTTTTTTTTTTTCATGGTAAACCAACACAAAGTAGGGCGTAATTATGGAGTGGAAGGAAAACGAGACACAGTTTCAACTTTATAAGAAAATAAAGCCAACTTCTGGATTTTGACTGGACCGTGCTAACATGTCGATATGTTTTGATGAACATGTTTCAATCTTGGGTCTAGGCTGCATGTTTATGGTCTGAAGCCCCGCCCCCATTCTCAAGTCTTTTGCAGTTTCTGCCAGGTTTTCTTGTAGGGTTGATCCTCTATATGTCCACCACTTCTTCCCTGACCCGGATCAGTCCTGGAACCACCATGTATAGAGACGATCTCCTTATGCCAGGGGTGCCCAAAGTCGGTCCTCGAGGGCCGGCATTCTGCGTGTTATAGTTCTCTCCCTGGTGGTAGTAACAAGCTTTTCAGCATGTCAATGTTCTTCCTAGGTCCTCTAACGAGCCATCATTTGATCCAGGTGTGTTAAACCAGGGAGAGAACTAAAACATGAAGGATGCTGGCCCTCGAGGACCGACTTTGGACACCCTTGCTATATGCTGTAAGTTCACTGACAAACATAGGCTTTTGCAAGTTGGTCCAAAAGTTCAATTATGGTCTCATTTGCCCAGAGGACCTACTTTGACATAGTTGTTGAATTTTTTTGTTTTACAAAAACGAAACCATTCTTTCCGATTCTTCTTCAACAGTCCAGATTTCTGGAGTGCACAAGTGTCATGGATCTCTACAGTTTCCTCTTGCTGCTTGGTGGATAGCGATATATATATATTTTTTAAATGTTTGCACTTTTAGCATTTCCTTTTCAGTTTTATTTGAACAACTGAATAGAAACAGATTTCCAGTGCTTGGGATATTTATCTTCAAGATCCCAATTGTTCACTAATGTTTTCTAGCAAACATCTGAAGCCTTCACAGAACAGTTGGATTTACAATGGCAGACTTTTTTTTTTTTTAGAGGTGTCAGAGTAAAGGAGGTTGAAAAAAATCACTCCACGTTTCTCATATAATTTGTCGGTCCAGAATAGTGAGGAAAAATGTACAATTTCTCCTTCCACTTCCCAATTATGGAGAACTTTGTGTTGGTCCATCGTGCACTCCCAATGGAGTACACTGAAGTTTAATATGACCAAATGTGGAAAAGTTTGCAGTGGCTATGCGATTAAAATCATCTGTATCCTGGTGTAAAGACATAACTCCTATCTGATTAGGTGGCTTTGCACTAGAACTTTTCAAAACGCTTTGGAGCCTCTGGACTTCTCATTCAAGCCCCACTCTGCCTGCGTGGCTCACCGGGGCGAACCAAATCGCGCACTTTTTACGCATCACGCACGGTGTTTGCACTGTGTCGCTCATCTGCGCTGCACACGGCTTGAATGAGACTCTCGGCAATCAAGTAAAACCCACCTGGAGTCGAACTTCTTCCCGTCAGGAAACGTGCCAATGTAGTGGTACCGGACGAAATCCCCAACTTTGACTGCGCGGACGCATTGCTCTGGCTCGAAGGTTTTTTCTACGAGGATGTCGTCTAACGGGACCGGAGGCGCGTTGCAGGCGGCGAACGTCACTAGGAGCGACAGAGACAACATTCCCAGCGCACACTTGATCATTTTCCCCCCTCCACTAAACTTTCCTAAGATTGCAAATAAGTGTGGTGAAGCCCTGTAATCTGTGCACGGCGGCTGCTACCTGCTCCCCATGTACTTTGGCTTCCTCTACTCTGACTTGGGAAGAAGTCCTGCCCCTGATCCCAGCGTAGGAAAGAGTCAATTTGTTGAGCACACGCAACACTTCCGGTTATGATTAGGACAGCTCGTCCTCAACTGAACAGTAAAATTCAAAGTGTAACGCATTACACGCAAATACGTTCAAGTCGAACACGTGATCGCGTGTGTGCGTAATCTTCACACGCGTGTACAATCAGTTTTCAGCTCGGTGACTCCGCTCTTAATTTGAAAGCGGATGGATCATTTCCTGCGAGTTTTCAACTCTTTTGGGCAACCTTGACCCTGTCGGTACCGAGTGGGATAGTTTGGGGCTCCACGTATTGCTCCTGCGCAGTGAAGCCGTACAGACACGTCAACGTGGTACCGTAGGGTTCTACACACACACACACGCGCACACAGACACAGACACACACAGAGGCACATCCTCTGCCTCACATAGCCGAAAAGTTTGTGGCCGTGGCTCTTAATTATGCTGAGGTTGAGACAATGAGCAGGTCGTGTTGAATTTTTTTACTTTGAATGCTGCCTTTTAGGGGATTCTCGGTCCTATTTTTTTTGGGTGGGGTGGAGGGGTTGCTTATGCAGAGCAAACCAGGAATGTTCCAACGTGGCAGCGGGAGTGGGAGGGACACTCTCACCAGGGGTTCAATTAAAAGTAAGAGGGAGAAGACAGGTTAAAAAGTAAAAAAAAAAAAAAAAAAAAAAAAAAAAAAAAAAAACTTTTTCCTTAAAAATATGTCGCTGACTTTGCCCTTCAGTTTTTAAAAGAATAATAAATTGTCATTAGCTTCCCTTTTAAAGAGAACGTCACAGTAAAAAAAAAAAAAAATAGGTTCAGTTTATCATGTTTTAACTTGAAGTTTTACGAGAACACAAATCGGCGGTGATTTTAACTGTGATTTCATGGGAGGAGCCGCTCGGGGTATGGCAAGCCGTTAGTGGAAATATTCCATATCCTTGATTACTCCTGTCTAGAGTGTGCAGTTTGGGGTGGAGAGTAAAATGTGGGCGGAGTTTAACAGATGACTCAAATGGTTGACTCCGCCCACGATTCAGATTCTTGTGGTCTTCCAGCTTAAAGAAGTTGCATGTCACATTAAAAACTTGGCCTTGTTGTATTAATTTAACTAACACAAGCATTGATCATTCATATTCCCAAGAAACCCAAATGAAGTTTGACTTTTTTTTTTTTAAGTTTGTGATTAAAATCAAAACAAACCCCCAAGGGATTGTTGGGGGTACCAATTGTGCTACCTTGGATTTTGTTAACAAAATAATAATTTCTTTACATGATTTTTGCATGATTCCTTAATAATTTCTAAATTAATCTTACAAAAGTAATTAATCACCTGTATTTTTTATTTAGCTAATTTATAGGTTTTTTAAATAAAAAAAAAATAAACCTCCCCATCTACTAGTCTTCTACTCTATATTGCAAATATATACTAATTATAAGATGCCTGTACCCAAGGTAAACAGGGTATAGAACAGCTTGAACTTGGATATAATTATAATTGTATTAATTATATTAGTTATAAGTGATACTAAAACCCCTGATCAGACCAAAATACTAGAGCTACTGCCTGCCAATAGGTCACATTTACTGGAATCACAGAACCAAATTTTCTTACATCAGATGCTCAGGTTAAAGACAAACACTTTAAATCACTAATTGACCCTGATCGGAGAGTAGGAACTGAAACATAATATGTACGTCAGCAACTTTCTGAAGGATGTGGATTATTTACACAAACAGCTTGCCATACATGGCAGCCCCCCCTGCTGGACCCTGCTGATCCTGCCCCGCGCCCTGGGGAGGTTTCAAGCTTTGTCCGGATACGTGGAGGAAAGTAAGGCGGTCTTAGAATCAGTCCTGAATAACCTCTGCCAGCTCAAACTTTTTCCCTTTTAGTTTTTTTTTTTTTGTTTTTTTGTGTGTAGACAAAAATGGCTCCCTCCACACCTTCCCACCTCTTCTCTCTGTGTTTGCTCGCCGTTTTCGTCTCGGCGGTGAACTCTCAGTACGAAAAGTACAGCTTCAGGAGCTTCCCCAGACACGAGCTGATGCCCCTGGAGTCCGCCTACAAGTACGGGCTGGACCAGTACACGGCGGAGAAGTGGCAGGAAACGGTGGAGTACCTGGAGGTGTCGCTGCGCCTCTACCGCCTGCTGCGGGACAGCGAGGCCTTCTGCAACCTGAACTGCAGCTCCGTGCGGCTGGACGACGAGCAGAAGTTTGCGGACTTTCCGGAGCTGCGGGCGTTCGGGAACGTGATGAAGAGGGCGCAGTGCCTGAAGCGCTGCAAGCAGGGGCTGCCAGCTTTCAGACAGAGCTTACCCAGTAGAGACACCATCGATGAGTTTGATCGGAGAGAGCCCTACAAATACCTGCAGTATGCCTACTTTAAAGTAAGGCTGACTTGTGACTAGTTTACTGTTAAGCTTGCCTTTGTATTGCCTGATTTATTTGCCTAAAATCATGAAATAATATCTTTTCTTACTTAATTTTCATCTTTGTGTTACAGTCTAACAACCTGGCCAAAGCTGTGTCTGCTGCTCACACCTTTCTGCTGAAACACCCGGATGATGAGATGATGCAGAAGAACATGGCTTATTACAAGAGTCTACCTGGAGCTGAAGAACATCTAAAAGATCTGGAGACCAAATCCTATGAGGTGCATGCAACAATTCTGACATTGTTGGTCTGATTTTTTATTTTTATTTTAGCATTTGGTGTATGTTTGGCATAATATGCTCACCAAATGTCGCTCAAAAACAACAAAACTGCTTTAATGGAGTGACAAATAAGGAGGGTGAAGCAAAGTACCGGGATGTGTTGGCATAATTTATAAGGTCATTTGAAAAATAAGGAAGATGACTAATAACTAATGGTTTTCTTAGTCAGAACACAGTTGTCATAAAGACCAAAACTGACATCGTTCATAGATCAACAAGTTTAACAAAGACCTGAATGTTATATTATTATTTTTTTCAAATGTTTCAAAAACTGTTACAAGTGAGCCAGATTTTATTGCAGACTTGCATTAACAGAGAAAATCAAATCTTAATGCTAAATTTTGGAATTTAGATTATCTTTTAAGATCACATAAAAACAAATCGGCCATTGATGGTGAAGCATGGCAGTGGCTCTGTTATGCAGTGGGGCACTAGATGCAACAAAGAAATGATTAAGAGAGCATTTTCCACTGTTTGGTTAGAAAACAGGAGGTTATTCATGGTTATTAACTTAAAAAGTAAAGTATAAATGATAAAATAATACAGGTACTTTAAGTTTAGAGAAATTATCAAGGGTGTGGTATTTGTTATTAAAAGGGATTACTTATTTATGTAGATTTTTTTTTCATCCTCGCTGAATAAATAAACTGAAATGTAATTTCAATATTTAGTATTTCAGCGTGAGATTATGCTACTGCAATAAAAAATGGTTTTGTTTATGGCTTTTAACACGTCTTTACCAATAAGAGTGAAAGAGACTAAATCACAGAAACGAAAATAAATGTGCATCTATTGAACCAGAAAAATGAGTTGAACAAGTAACTGTATTTTCCGGTATTGGATGTCAGTAATTTAGACTGTAACTATGAAACAGAAAGGCTGTTTAAACGCGAAGCCGTCTGATCGCTGAAGGTGCGTCCGGCCCAAACCCACGAGCCGTATTACTGGCTCTGTGGGCTTGTAGGATGTGGTTTCCAGGCCAAACGGGCCTCCCTGGTATTATGAGCTTCAATAGCCGACTGAATACGCAGATAAGTGGAGGCTTCGTTTAATTTTACTCCTTAGGAACAACCAATGGACTCATGAAATGCTTGTACATAATGCCGCATCGCATCATGACTGCGTGTCTCCTTTTTATCCAGACTTTATTTGTGCGCGCCGTGAAGGCGTACAACGGCGATAACTTCCGGACGTCGGTGTCGGACATGGAGCTGGCACTGAGGGACTTCTTCAAGGTCTACGACGAGTGTCTGGCTGCGTCCGAGGGTCCGAGACACGTCAAAGAGTTTAAAGATTTCTACGCCTCCATAGCTGGTTGGTTCATCCTCGTCTGTCAGAGCTGGTTTTCTGAACACGTTTAAACATCACCATCTTAAAGTTTTTGTTGTTGTTGTTGTTTTTTAGACCACTACACTGAAGTCCTTGAGAGAAAGGTGATGTGTGAAAGCGACCTGACACCCGTAGTCGGAGGCTTCGTCGTCGACAAGTTCGTGGCGACGATGTATCACTACCTGCAGTTTGCCTATTATAAACGTGAGCAGACGCAGCATCCAGGGCTCACGGCATTTACGAAAACTAGTCAACTGCAGCTGCTCATTTTCATGTTTTCCTCAGTGAATGACCTGAAGAACGCGGTGCCGTGTGCAACCAGCTACGTTCTGTTTGACCCCAACGATGAGGTCATGAACAACAACGTGGCCTACTACAAGTACCACAGAAACAAGTGGGATCTGACGGAGGAGGACTTCCTCCCCAGAGCAGTGAGTAACATCCCTTTTCTTTTATTCCATATTTTATTACACAGGTACAATCTATGCTTGCAACTGAAATGTTCACAAGCAAAAAAAAAAAAAAGAAAAAAAAAGAAGAAGAAGCAAATGTGAAAGAATATCTATAATTTTTTTGTTTTTTGCATGGAACATTTTTCTCCTATTTACCTGAAAAGTTAAAATCTCAAATAAGATTTGGAAAATTATTTTCTGGTTTGAGTTTTTACGCTTTTAGAAACTTTTGTTTAAAGCAAAATTAAACATATGCCAGAAAATAAAACCCTTATGTCTGATCTGTTGCACACATGTGGATGAAAAACTCCAGATTTAAAAATAAATAGTTTGTTGACACGATATTAGTAAAGGAGGTTGTCCAAACTAATCCAACACAAACTATCTAAACAGTCTAACAGTAAAGAAACTAAAAATAAATAAATGTTACAGTTTGTATACTTTATGTAATAAATTACTTACTCTTATTCAAATATCTAACTATTTATACTAAAAGAGCTAGAAGGTAATCAATCATATAATTTCAATTGTACATTAAAAACGGAAGTAAAAAAAATTATAATCAGTTTTCCAGGAAAAGGTGAAATTACAAAAATAATATTTTAAAGTTTATTTTTATCAGTCTTTTTAAAGTTATGAATAATTCATCATTACATTGTTTGAGCTAATACAAATGGTGTTAATATGATTATATTATATTATATTATATTATATTATATTATATTATATTATACAGTGATGTTTAACAACTATATTTTATGCAGGGATAAGTTTTACTATTAATTTATGATTTATACCTATACTGATAAAGTTTAGTAGTAAATAAACTGCACATTTGCATAATGACATTTAAAAAAAATCATTTAGCTATATAGTATTTGGAGTTTCTTGTGACTTTTTGAAAAATTATAAATATGTGTTTTTAAGCAGCTGAACCTTTTTTTTTCTTTTTTCTTTTTAAGTCCTTCTCAGTGGTTTTGTGAACATATTTGTTTCTGGGTGTGTGCTGCAGGAGGCAGTGCGGTACTACAATCAAACCACCCTGCAGCTGCAGATGCTGGAGTTTGCAAAGCAACGCCTTATGAGCGACGATGAGGTGTGTGTCTGTGCTTACGTATTTCTGGGATCCCTCATTTCTGGACATTTGGGGACAAATAAAAGGAACATTAAACATTTTCTATGTATTTCTGATTAAATATGCTTAAAAAAATGTAAACATCTAGGACTGGGTTGTTGGTTTCTCTCATAGGTTCGATCAAAGTGTTATTTAGAAAAAGAAATTGGATAATTGAGTCATGTCACATGACCCCCCTGCAAGATACTGTAGGTTCACCAGGCTGCAATACCACCGACAGACATGTGGGGGCAGCATGACGCTAATCTAACTTGTGCTTTTTTTGAAGAATCTCACTATTTCATATGTTTTATGTTGTAAATCAAATTTAGTTCTAGACATAAATCTTCTTAGCAATAAAATATATGAGAGTTTCTGCTTTGAAATGAAACGTAATCTTTTAATCTGATCTGCTGTATTTGTGTTCGCAGGGAGAAGTGGTGGAGTTTATAGACGAGTTTCTGGACGAGGACCAATAGCACACATGGAGACACTCCAAAATACTCAATTAGAAATGACTAAACACTCCATTAGTCTGTATTTATTTGAATACTGCGTTTTTTTTTATTTAACATTTTGGTTTTACCTCCACCTCTAAAGCACCAGTTGCGTTTGTAATTTGTCATTTTGTGCAGCAAGTATCCAGTTTTACTGTCTTCTGAATTCATTCAATGCTGTGAATGGTGTTGTTTTTTTATGACAATAAACAAAGTTTCTGGAGTTTTTTCTTCCATCACTTCCATGTTTAGATGTTAGGTGTAAGGATGTTGATATTTTCCTTGATATATTCTTTGCTTAAAAGGAAGAAAAAGCTAAAATAGATACTCATTAAAATCTAAACGAGAAATCCAGAATATATTTAGACAAAGTCCGAAGAATTATTTTTAGTGTCCATGCTTAAAATAATTACCTTGGTAGATTAATTAATGAACTAATTCTCCGTTCCAGCCCAGAGATTCTTTTTTTTTTTTTTTTCACTTGAGCTTTAATTAAAAAGGAAAAAGTCCCGAAAAAGCTGTGGAGAGCGTAATGAAGAGCTGAGAGAGACATTCAGAGAGAACACTGAGTTGGTTATTAATGTGTGAACATTGAGTCTCTGTGCAGTTTGTCTCACAGTGGTGTTAGAAACCCACTGGGAAACATCCCCCCTGTGTCACCGCCTGTCTGCATTCTCACTCTCTTCTGTCTCTTTTATTGCCTTTCTTTCACCACTGACCGCATTTCACCCTCTAATCGTGCACCTTTTTTTATTGCACTGAACGGTTGTGATTAATTAGAAAAAGTTGACTGCAAATAATTGCACCTGCTGTGTCACGAACAGATGCAAGCGTGATTATCAGAGAGCAAGGCGTCAGGAAGCAGCGTTAACATGATTTGCAGTGTCTTAATAAAGTATTTATAACCCTTTCAAGAGCAAACAGTCGAGTAATTTATTGGGATCTTTTCTGACAGACAAATTAAATAATACGTAATAAACAAAAATCTGATTTTTAGCCCCAGTCAACTCTAACTAAAATCCTCAGACTTGATCTCACGATGAATCCAGCTTTTTGTGGATTAAATTAACCACACGGCAACGTAAAAACCACAGCAAAACATGTTGCAAAAGGAGCTTTGGTCAGATGAAAAGTCAACTGTACTGAAGTTATTTATGTAAACGCAATGGCACAGTCAAAGGTTGAGCCTAAATCCGTGTGAGAATTTGTGGCAATACTTTATATAAACTAATCAAAACTTCGACTTAAATAAATTACTTCAATTGGTTTATGAAAAATTTAACAATTGAACTTTGACTTGATATAACTCAATAAACTTAATAAGTTAACTTGGATAAATGTAATTCGGTCATTTGTAACCAATTGAAGTGATTTAATTTGGATCACGCGTTCTCTTTTTAAATGTACAAAGTGCTGACTTGAGAGGACTGAACATAAAAGCATGCCACACTTTTCAGGTTTTTATTTAGAAAGATTTTTAAAACCATCAATCAGTTGTTTTTTTTCTCCCACTTTACTACCAAATGATATCTTGATAAAATACGTAGTTTGTGGCTGTAACATGACAAAATGTGAAAAAGTGGTTATGAATATATTACTTTATCCATGCAGGATAATATCTGTATTTCATATTACCTATAGAATATTTCAATCAAATTTACAGAAACACATTTTATATGTTTATTAATACCAAGGAAGCACAACACGTTTTACCTTCACAGGGAATTTTAGATGTACTTCTGGACTAATCTTCACACTTTGAGATCAACAGAAACTTTAAAAGTGTTTTTATTCACAGCATATATAACCGAAATAATTACTGAAAATGTTATATTTATAATATTATCATCATGCTTTTCTTTTATTGTCATGACTATAATCACAATTGTTTACCAAAAATAGTGTGAAATTATTTTTTTCTTTCCTGACTACAGCAGAATGAACTAAGAAAATAACATTATTGACTCAAGTTGACACAAATTCTTTTTCTTTATAAAGAAGGCATAATATTTGCCATACATGTGCAGATAATCACAAACTTACATGAAGAGAAATTCAATGTCTTGCCCATCCTGTCGTCACTTTAATCTTTCAATCTTCAGTCTGGAAAATAACTCTTCGATTTTTTCCCCAAAGTTTAGGAAGCAAATCAGGCAAACAAAGAGCTGCCAGATCCAACTACTACTTTTCTTCTCTGGCATTCCTGAAATAACAGCAGTTTAAACATCATTTTTATGGAGCTAAAGTGAATTACACAAGAAACCGCCATGGACAACAATGCCAAAGTGTCTTACCTCATTAACAACATTTACACTAGTTATATATAACGTCTGTTTCAAATGTTACTTGCTTACCAAACTATAAAAACTGATATATTTTTATATAAACTCCTTTGAGTACTTAAATGTGTTTACATGTTAACATTTAAAAGTACATCTATTTGGTATTTGTCACAGGGTAGACAGAGAAACAACTAAATACCACGTTCACAGTTCACACATAAATACAGTTGTGCTCATTTAGCTAACTTGACCAAATTAATCAATCTTAGTCATTTTCAACCAGCCTGCACTGAGCACGTCTCCACATATCTTCTCCCGGGAAGATTTCAGAGGAAGTTTGTATTTAGAGCATGTGTGTTGAGGGGACAGTTTTCTTTTTGTGTAGTGGTAGAAAAATTAATTAATATCTTCACTGACGTCTCTTTCAAGGGCTAAATCAAAACATGGCGGAACTCGGATGAAGGAAAAAGTGTTTGCAGAAAATTGTATGTTCTCATTTGTGTTGCAGGACATTAGAACTGGGTTCAAATCCCACCCTAGGGTCTTTCTGCATGAAGTTTACATGCAGAAAACTTTACATGCATGCATGGTTTCTCTCCAAGTCGTCCTCCAACAGCCTGGAAACGTGACATGATCACTTTTTGTACTTCTGGCAGTAAAGAAAAGCCTCACGGCATGATGCTGCCTCCACCGTACTTGACACTTGGTTGAGTGTTATTACGTTGACTCTGCCAAATGCACGTCTTTGCATTTGGACCAAAAAGTTCAAACTTTGCCTGATAAAACTTTCTGCACAAGGCCATTTGTTTTATCAGCTGAAAATCAAATTAAGTTCAATTTCATTCCATTCCATTCAATTTATTTACGTAGCTCCATTTCACAGTATATGACATCTCAAAGCCTCTCAGTTCATGGTGAAGTAAAACTGGTTTCACTGTGAACGGTGATGCTGATCAGACCCAGCCCATTTTTAAAGCAGTTCCTAAGCAGAGTTTCATTTGGGGGGCCAACTGGGGTCAAGTTCACCAGCCGACCCAGCACAACTCTTATTTTGTGCTGTTTTGATTATTTTTGCATTATCGTTCATGTCTGCGTTACTGTAACTTACTTTGCATTACCCAATGAGCCAGCAATGAAGTAAAATGAATGGTGGATTATGTTTTGCTGCACGGTCATAGCAGTCATGTTATATAAGTAAATAACATGGAATAAAGTGCATATTTTAAACTAAAAAAAAAAAAAAGAATAGTTCAGTAAAATAGGGTAATAGTTTTGGTCAGATGGATGTTTGTTGTGGAATAAATGATTACCAAACGCTGCTTTCCCACCACATTGTCCAAACAAAACATTGACCTCCATTGTAAATCAACACTGGTTTTGGAATGGCTAAATCTTGTTAGCATAGAGTTAGCAAAGCAAAACCTCGTCTTAAATCCTGTTGACAATTGGTGCACCACGCCAGAAAACCTGCCAGTTTAAATTAACTCTCCCAAAAGAGTGGTCAGAAGTTTGTTGGTGGCTACGAAAAGCTTGTCTTCAAGGCACAAAGAGACATTTAACCACATGTTAGTTGGGGTTTATGTATATACATGACCCTGTACAATGCACCTGATTCAAATAACTGGAGAATATTATCAAGTTGTGCAGATACCTGTTAAAAGCATTTATGTAAATCAGGCGTACTGAAGATTCAACAGATCTAAAGCTTTTATGACAATGGATTCCAAGGGTTGACATTCTTGATTTACAGCAAAGCATCAAGGCATTCAAAACAGTTTAAAAAACAGCAGAAACCCAAGGAAATACAAACAAGCATCACTAAAATGATGAAAACATTTAAATTTGGGAGTCCCAGTTGATATAGTCATGGAGGAATAGCTTCCCTGTATTTTCTAGTCTCTTTGTTTTAGGCACAGCCCGTTTGCATCCAGCTAATGCAGAAGTTTTAAAGTAATAATATGGGGGTATATTTATAGCTAACTCAGCAAGGCTTTTTTTCACTGAAGCAGAAATGCAGCTAGTTATCAAACCCAAAGTGTCCACACCTGCAGTAGTGTCTAACGTGATGAAGGGAAGTTCATTCCTCTTGTTTATCTTAATTCTTCTATCTTTAAATGTCTCTGCTCTTCATTAACGTCCTCGTTCTCCACTCCTACACTTTCTGCTGCATCTCTATCTGTTGGCCCGGTCTGCTCTGGTTTTGACCTTTCCCGTTCATCTCGTACAGTGAACTTTTCTGTTGTTTCCGCCTGAAACACCAAACTCCGATGATGACCGCGGTGGCCACGGCACACACCGCCACAATGATGGCGGCCACCTTCGCCCCTTGGGTGGTTGAGCTTGGAGGGTGAGGCGGACAGTCCTCACCCACACAGATCGTCTTCCTCTTCTCTCCTTCCATCTCACCCATCATACCTGGCAGATCGTCCACAGTGTGTTCCTCCATCACTCCAGGAAACGTGTTCCCATCATGCACCGGGGGAGCTGGGCCGTGATCGAGGAAAGGGTGATTGGTGAGGTCATCCAGCCAGGAGTGGGTGGGAGGAACTTGTTGTGTGTCGTAATCCAGGGTGTCGGAGTTTGAGGGGGAGTTTGAGCGCTCTAAATGGTCAGATGAGGTAGCTGGAGTCCTGGAGCCAGGCCAGTTCTTCCTCTCCCTCCCTTGGTCGGATTTAGGTGTCATAGTGAAGGATATATCTCCGTCTGAGAAACTGAAGTGAGGAACCCGTTTACGTACTTCCACATCGTTGGGTTTGTCTGTTGTCTTTGCCATACTGCTTCCCATTTGCCCTTTTGTGGAATCGCTATTTTCTGTGTCAAATAGATCAACAGGATATCCATCAAGCCAAGTATTATCTTTAGTGCTCTTACTTCCTGCTTCCCTCTGGGTGATGTTTGGCCGCCGCTCATTGGCTACAGAAATGATTAGATGTGGGTGATGATCATCATCTTCATGGCTATCATGGTCGTCATAGCTCTCCTCGTCTTTGTCTTCACGATCATCGTGAATGTCGTCTTCATCGTGATCATAATGTTCCTCTCCATCATCATGATCGTCACTTTTTGGATGTTGTTCTGAATTATCAGGATGTTCTCCATCATTGTCTTTGTGATCATCATCATGATCCTCCTGACTTGGGTGATCGTCGTATGCAGCATCACGATCATCGTATTCTTTGGTGCGATCACTGCCGTCTTCGTGCTCGCCCATGTCATAATGGTCATCATGATCATCATCGTCTCTGTCCCGATCAGGTCTGTCCGAGTTGTCGTAGTGAGTCGGTTGCTTCACATTGTCATCAAAATCCTCTTCTTGGCGACTGCCAGGATCATCATGATCATGGTGATCATGGTGATCATCATGATCATCATGATTATAGTGATCATCGTGATTATCTTGATTATCGTGATCATCGGTACGATCGTCTTCATGGATGTCCAGGTCATCATGGCGGCTGTCATCCTGATCATCATTGTCATCTCTGTCATATATTTTATCATCTTGATCTTTATTTCTGTTCTCATCATCATCATGATCGTCATGATCGTCATGATCGTCACGATCGACACGATCGACAAAGTCGGTGCTTTCCAGCTTTTCTTGGCTCTCGCTTTCTTTGCTCTCCTCAGACAGGGCACCAGAAGCTCTCTGTGTTGCTTGTGTGACTGAGTCGCTGGCGATGGGCGGTACCTCCTCCTGGAAAGCCTCAGAGGGGAACCAGAACATGTGTTTTTGGGAGAGAAGAGAAACAGGCTCCTTCGTGGCTGGAGCTGCACCAGTCCGGACCAACTTGGTACTGTCCTGCTCAAACCTGGGATGGACCGTGAAAGCATCTTCCTCTCTCATTGCTACTTCATCCACAGTTCCTCCAAAGGTTCTACTGCTATTAATCACCTTTACTCCAATATCATGCACTTCATGGCGATCTTGGTCATCCTCTTCTACATTGACCCAAAATTTTGTTTCTTGCTGCTGCAGAATCCCCTTCCCTTTTTGAGAAGTATCTCTGAATATGTCTTCTTGACTGTCATGATCATGATCTGTTTCTTCATAGGAATCTTCAAACTTGTCTTCATAGTCTACATGGGTTTCAGTTGCACCTAAAGATAAAATGACAAGACATTAATCAAATTTAGAGCTACATCGTATAAAATTCTATATTTCATGTTAACATTGGACAGTCTGCATGAGCCTGCAGAGCTAACATCAGCTACAACAGACCTGGAAGAAGTTTGTCGTTCATAAATCATCTTGTAAAGCCTCATGTCTGAAATCATCTAAAAACCAAAACCATAAACATGATAGATCCCACAGACTAACCGTCTGCTCAGAGCTGGTTGAAGGTAAAACCAGCAGACTTTTTTAATATAAAATTAACATGGCCACATTATGAAGAGTCAAAGCAGACATTTTCATCACAATTCACATCAGAAAGTTTGTAGCCAAGATACAAGCGCCTTAAAACTTTAAAGAAACAAAACATGAAACCCTTTCTTCACATTTTTTGTTTGGTTTTCCTCCTTAATATTTTAAAACATTTCATAAGGCATCTAAAATGTAAAAAAAAAAAAAGTACCTTTAATGCAAATCTGCACAGTCCCGTACCACTGGCCGCAGCTGTCACACAGCAGGCTGAAGGCAGAGTGACCGCTGGGCATCACGTAACCGGGTGTGCACGTGTACAGCAGCTCGTCTCCCATCTCAAACCCTGAGTGATCCTGCAGACGGGCGTTGGGGAACGATGGAGGATCCCCACAGGTCACAGCTACCAACATCAAAAAATGACACAGATGATGTAAAATAAAGATTACTCTTTTCAAAGTAATATAAATGTCGCTACATTTCACTCAAGTCATTATAAGGATGAATTAAAAAGTAGTTTATGTTGTAAAAAATGTGTACAAAAATATTAAAGACAAAAAGTATCTGCATTGTTGTTCATATTAAGAAATGTTTATGTTCCTTTATTGTTGAAGTTTGATCAGAAACACTCATTAGGTTTACCAAAACAAATACATACACCCAAGAAGAAAGCACAGTAAATATCACAAAGAGAGCTGAAAAGAACCACTGTTCACTTACGGTTTTGGTGTATCATTATATTTACACCACTGACCTTTGTCTTTCATGCAGAAGGCACTCAGGTGTGCAGTGTCCTCTGTAGCGTTTTCTGTCTTCACGTTAACAGCCTTCAGTGAACTCCCCTCAGCATTACAAACTGTCGTCCTGCAGACAGACACACAAATGGTACGACAACAGACTATCAGAAGTATTCACTTTACAAAACCTTTAAAAATGGTGTCACATTACTATGGAGAGCCTATTCCAGCCAAAATTTATTAAATCAATAAATCTATAAATAAATGGCTACTTAATTTAATCACCTTTACAATAAATACCTAATTTTTATTTATTTGTTTATTTCTTATTTTATTTGTATATTATTTACAAATAAGTAATTTTTGAATATGTATTCATTTATTTGTATATTATTTTATTTATTTACATATGTATTTATTCATTAAATCATATATTTATTTAGGAATTAATTCATTTATTTATTTATTTTTGACTGAAATGGCTCTCCATGCATTAGAACCAAAACATCAGTGGATTTTATTCAGACTTTTTGTGACATAACAAAGTAATTCATAGTTGTGAAGAGGAATGGAAATTATGTGTTGTTTTCACAGTTATGTAAGGCATCATCCAGAAATAAAAATAAATTAAATGACAAAGTATTTTTTATGCTAGATACATCATGCTTCTGTACAACTTAAAAGATTTTTCTTCAACCACCAGGGGGCGCTTTAGCAGGAAGTGAGTCATTGGAAGTCAAAATTGGAAATCAAAGAAGAAAGCGCTGATTTTCATTTAGAACAAGCACATGCTAGCAGCAGGCACGAAGAAGAAATGTTTTCAAACTCATCATGGAAACCACACGAAGAAGTTAATATGATACAGCTTTTAGATTGAAGGCTATCGATCTGGCAGTACCGATCGACAGCCGCTGCTCGTAAGCTCAGCGTGAACGAATCCGTGGTTCGGCATTGGAGACGGAGGGCTGCGTCCTTAATAGGAGGTTTATTAATGCCATCTAGTGTCCTTGTGGAAAACCGAGAGCGGTGGAGATACCAGCGGATTATAGCCTGGTGCGGCTTATATATGTATGTTTCCAGAGTTTTTTTTGTTTGTTTGTTTGTTTTTTTTTTTTGTTTTTTTTTTAACTTTGTGGGTGCGGCTTCCGGACTATAGAGGTGCGCTCTATAATCCGGAAAATACCGCAACTATCATGGGCTACCAGGCTGAATACACGTGAAAATGAAAACTTAGAAGTATGATGTTGCATTCTGTTTAAGGAAGCAGGTGTTGCTATTGACATATATGAGTCTGAGTACAACTGAACTAATCAAACGATTGGGAAAAATGTGTTTGGAGAAGCAGTGTAATTCATGACTCTTGTTTCATCAGCATTAGGTGACATAAAACAGAGAAAAGATGCAGAAAAGAAAAACACAAGCTGGTAAAACCTTGACCTATAAACCTGTAGAGCATCTGTTAAAGAAAGTAACATTTGTCACATAAAAGAAGAGCTATTTGTCAAACTATTACCTTTATGCTACATGTGAAACCAAATGGTCTACATCTGTATGTATGAAATATAGTGTTGTAGGAGCAACACACAGCAGTGACCTGCAGTGACGGACAAGTAAGAAGACGATGTTAATGTATGGGAGTTAGGCTGGATGGTATTTGTTTATAGCAACACACCAGAAAAAACCTCTGACAATGTTTCAGTGAAGACTGTAGGATAATAGTGATGGAACCGAGGAGAAAAAAAAAGAAAGAAAGTTCATACCACTGATAGAAAAAGTTAGGAAGACAAAGAAAAATCTAAAACAACTCAAGAGCAGCGATCGTTTAACTAACTCACAAAAATGTGTAAATCTAACCTTGAAGGAAAATAGATGAATAAAATAAACATCTTTGCGCAAAACTCTAACTTTTGATGGCTCTAATAAATGAGATTCAACCGCCCAGAAAACATCTTTTAATAGCAGATCATTTATGATATTCGACATGGTGAGCATCATGTCTGTCACCGCTGTAGTGAAACATCATGATTGCTTCCATTTTTCTACGTGAGTTTTGTCACTTTTCTCTACATTTGAACCAAATAACCCAAAACCTACTGTAAGAGTTTGGATCTCCTCTTCCCACCTAAGTACCTGTCTCCCTCCTAAATCAAACGTGCATCTGTTTCTGTCTCTTGGGGCAGGGGGAGGGGGATGAAAGCAGCATCTCACGTTGCTGTGGAGACGTGGGGCGTAAATGGAGGCAGTTGTCGACATGACACCCCGGCTCAGAATTCCCTCATCCCTCTGGAGGAGACAGAGGAGCCTTTCTCCGTCTTTTGCTCCCTGCTTTTTCTCTCCTCCCTGAAATGTGTCACTCTCGTATCTTCCCACACTTGCTAAAACAGACAGCGCTCCCTCCGCTTCCTTTCCTCTTTCATCCGTTCCTGTAGCCTCCGTCACACGTACAGGCGGCGCGCACACACTTGTGGGAGCTTTGATCGTCTCCAGAAATCTCCCCGCTTATCTCCTCAAAGGCGGGAAGGCAAATGCTTATTTTCTTACCCCACCGTGCCTCCGTAGAGCCACCCGCGGGTGCAGTGAGAGAAGAAGCACTCCAGCACGGCTTGACGGAGCTCTTCCACTGACGCCAAGCGGGCATTTTGCGAGGCACACGCCTGCTCTGGTTCCCCGAAGCCCTGCAAGCTGCTCGGGTCTAAAACAAACACACGACCTGCGGAGAGACGACGCCACGGGTCAGAAAGTTTTCTGACATCCTGGGATGGAGTTCAAGATTGTTTCTGCACAGAATTCAAATATTCATTAAGAAAACATCTAGATGAATCCTTCAACTTAATGAAACTTGTGTAGTCTGAGCTGTTTTGCAGTGTTATTACTCTGCTAATACTAAATGGTTGGCTCAAATCAATTGAGGCCTTTTGACCATCTTTATTTGATTTATGTGATTACTTTCTGTTGTTAATAAAAGGTAGTCACAGATGGTAACTGGGAGAACACACTAAATGAAATTTATTCAGCTGAGAAAGAGTAGACTCCATTTAGTGAAAGTATTGCTATGTAATTTGTCTGAACAGGGCTGATTTGTGTTCTAACAAAACAAACAAATAAACCAAAAATAAAACACGTGACAAAGTTAATGCTATGCCTAACTAATATGTGTGCTCAGTTCTCAATGTTAGTAATATCTTAGGAAAAAATTTGGAAAACCAATCATAGATAATAGTTTCCTCCATGATGCTACCAATGTTTACATATGTAAAAAAAACAGAGGCAAACGTGATATAACGTGTTAAAGATCTTGCTGAAGTACAACATCACTTCTATATGACAAGAGAAGACGAGCTCCAATCTAATTGTTTTTTTCCCCTTTCATAATTAACATCACATCCCCTTCAACTTGCCAGCATGCAAAGCAACAGACTCGGAATGTTGTTTTTTTTTTGCAAAAAATATATATTGTGGGATTTTCAAATGACCACTGCTGTAATTAAACATAAGAGAAGGTTGAATGAGACGAGAAAACCAGAGAAAAGCCTACAGAAAAGTCAATACGCCTAAAAGTAGATATTTTAGCAATAAAATGGCTGTTGTTGAATTTATAGAGTTTTATATTTTCAGCTATTTGTGAAACTTAGATATTTCAGATTATCGAACAAATTTTTATATCAGAGAAGGATAACCTGACTTAGCAAAAATATAGTTTCCAAATGAAATCTATCCCATTTTTAATGTACATCCTATTTTTAGTTTTTTTTTTTAAAAAGTGTTTTTGTTAATTCTTCAGACTTGGTAATCAGAAAAACTTTGCCAAAAATATGGTTGTCACATTTAATCCATGATTTAACATGAAGGGCAGCCATATTTTATTGGAGAGCCAGGTTGTTTTTTTTTAGCTTAAAAAAATAAAATTACTACTTGAAAAGAGCATTGCATATTTATTCAGGGTGTCTGTAACAGAGGAAACATTTTTCACATTATGCATGGATTGCATTACAAACAAATTAGCCAAGCAAAAGTTGTATGGATTGTTGGTTAAGAAAGGTGAGTGGATCAAAAACTTAAGCTTTACCTAGTTTAGTGAGAGTTCTAACCTGCTAGCTAACTGAGCTTTCACAGACACATTTTTAAAAATTGACTATGCCACCTTCTTAGAATATATTTTAAAAGCTTTATTATAATTATTATTTCAGTCATATTTCTTACATTAAGTAGAAACCAAGCTTTCTTTTCTGTTCATTTTTACCACAAGACTACGTCATAAAAGAAACAATGGTTCTTAATTATGATTCTACTGCAAAAGAGAAAACAGCTAGTTATATCTTTATAACTAGTTATAATTTAACCTGTTCTGTCATTTTGAAGTTTGCTAAATGAAATAACTTGGAGGTCCTTTTGGGTTACATTTATGCAATTTCACCGCAATGTAATGAGTGAAACTATTCCCTTTTTAATGTCTTGGATCATTTTTTTGTCACTGTTGTTATCCCAACGGTTTGTGTTTTACAGTGTACCAAATTACCAAGGCGCAAAAACGGACGCTTTGTTGCTTCACTCTTTCTTATCGCTTTAATTTTTTTCTTGACACGCACCTAAAATGACGTTTTGAAAACTACCTTTAAAAGTCTCAAAAACGTGACTCCATTAGCAACAAAAGTTTAAAATATTATCTTACCTTCTGCGTTCACAACAGAGGTCACAGCAAGAAAAGCCAGGCATCCAAAGAACAAGGACTGAACTATTTGTTTAGAACAATAAAGCATCTTTTTCAGCCCTCGTCTGTCTAATATCTCTTTGCTTTGGAAAAGGTGCCCTAAAAACCTCAAGAATTATTCACAAACTCGCAGGCAGAAGTAGCAATTTGTTTCCTTTTTTCTTCTTCTCTTCTTCTTCTTCTTCTTCTTCTTCTTCTTCTTCTTCTTCTTCTTCTTCTTCTTCTTCTTCTTCCTCTTCTTCTTCTTCTTCTTTTTGGCTGCACAGACTAAAACTGCACGTCAACCAGCGAGGATGCTGAAGGAAGAAACATGAAACGGCTCAGGAGTGAGGAGGCGCAGCTTATCTTCCCCAAATAGTCGCACTGGCAAGCAGATGAAGCACCTGTGTGAAAAATCACGTCCTCCCGTAAGTAAATACGTCACGGCTCAAAATGTCCAGGGTGGGCAGAGGGAGGTGAGCAGGACTGCTGCTTCTCAGCGAGACCAGACTGTTAGTAATGACTTTATAATGAGGATATAAAGGTGTAAAAATAAAAATCAATTCAAGAGAATGTTGTGGTTTCCAAAGTTGTGATAATAATAATAATAATAATAATAATAATAATAATAATAACAATAATAATAATAATCATAATCATAATCATAATCATAATAATGTGATTTATTTGTTGTTTATAAAATATTTGGAAGTTAAAACATGTGACAATGTATTTCCCTTTGAGTTTTGTGGAAAAAGAAGTTTTCATCACAGGTATATTTCAGTATATTTAATTTCTTTAATTTTTTTAAAAGCTATGAAGGGAAACTCCCATATAGACTCACTAAGCATAAATAGATATATTTATCTATTTATTTATGACACTTTAGAGGATTTTGGCTGCAGCCACTGGAAACTCAAAGCTCATGTTCTCATAAAATTGAAACATAACACAAATATCTATTTTACGAGTTTATATATGTCATTTTAACCTTCCCATTCTCAAATAATAATGAAATAAAATAAATGGTCCGTTAGAGCACCACACACAGATGTATCCAGGACGTCAACTACATCTGTCATAGTTTTTGTGTCTCATCTCAGCAGATAAGCAGAAATGATTGAAATATACCACTGACTATGAAAAATCTATATTGTATGTTTCCCTTTTTTTTAAGTTGCTGAAAAACTGTACATTTTCATGATAATTTGTTGACCCAAGCACTTATATGAATCAAAATTTTCTGTATGTAATGCTTTTTAATCAGGCTTTCATGAGAAGTGCATTATTGTGTCATGGGAGGTAAATGGTGTCTGGTTTTCAACTTATTTACAACTAAAGATCTGCTCAAAAGTGAGCCACATATGGAGCCTGGAAATATTTCAGAGTAAAAAAACAAAACATTTAATTTTTCCTGATAGTTGGGTGATTTTACATCTTTTTGGAGTGATGTTTGGTCATGCATGGTTGAACAATTGATAGCACTGTTGCCTTTCAGCAAGAAAGTCCTGAGAAAATAATCAAGGCGACACTCAAGGTATGTTTTAGATCACGGAATAACATTTTAATATGCTATACAGATCAGGATGCGGAGAACAGCGAGGCTGAGACCCTAACTCATGCGCTCAGGTTATTTTTGGAGAAGTGGAGGTCTGACGGCAGAAGGAGAGCCGTGGCGAATACGAGAAAGACAGCAATTCACACCTGATCTGCTGTAGGGAGTCTGGTGAAAATGATGCCTGCAGCAGGTGTCCCCCCAGGGGGTTTTGTCTGCAGACAGACGCTCGTTCAGACATCACACAGGTGTGTAATCTCACAGGGCTTCCAGTAGGCTTCCATTTCATGGGTTGTGAAGGTAAACACGTAGGCACACACAAATGCACAACCGCAAGATTACTTGCCGTATGTGTGAGACCCGCGACTTCCCATGTGAACGTATGTCCTGTCAGGAGGAGCTGGGCTGCCGACTGGCTGACTCACAGGAAGTTTCTGGTCATAATGGTGGAGCAAGGGGGCCACCATGAGAGACACACAGTAAAGGTTGAGGTTCACACAAACAGGAAACGGTCTGAACGCTTTTCGGTGAGGCGGCAAGCAGAAAATGTGGTTTCGGGAGCAATTTGCAGTGTTTCCTCCTGCACTTGTATCACCTTGATGTCAAAATCCTTGTAGCTAAAAATGTCTCTTCATACAAGGACAAGAACAAAAACAGTTCCTTACTTTATGATGGAGTACTGTAACCCATTACAATAAATAAGTTCTGGAAAGTTAGAAAATAGAAGATAGTTGTATATTTTTACCAGTAAGTAGTATTTCTTTCAGAATGATTGCACAATGTTTGTCAAAACTGCACTGTTTGGTTACTCAAAGCAAATGTTTGATATGTTTTCGCAATTACTGGACACCATTTGTGTTCAGGTTGTGGCCATCTGACCCAAATGGTTTGTCCCGCGTGAAAAGGAAATTGATTAGGATGTTAAGCAACCAAACAACCACCAAAATTTAATCCAGTAATGAACTGGACAGCGCTGCCCAGTGTGAAACTAGTTTTACATCACCACAGACTGAGACAGTGCCAGCTAAGAAAAAAAAGGTGTGTGTCTTTGCACACCAACTGATGCAGTCTGATCAGTTGGTGTGCATTTTTGTTTTGACAATCTCCTTATTGCTTATTTATTTTAAGGTCTTTAGCTACAGGCCTGGCTTTATTCTGTTAATTTCTATGTCTTCATTATTGCTCGGAGGGTGTTGCCATATCAACATATCATGGAAATGGCAGCATCATCCAGTGTATTGCACAAATTAATGAAGTATTACCCAGAGATTATTCAAGCACTATTAAACTGGGAGCAGGCGTTCCGAGATTTATCAATGAAAAATCACTGAAATGTAATTATTGATATTGTGTAACGTATCATTGAGTTGTTTGGTTATTTGAATTCTATATTGTAGTTGTGTTTCTTGTTTTCTGCACGTTTCCACTGGTTTAACAGTTTGACAATAAACCTGTTTAGTGGAATACGTGTTTAGTGGACAAACATCCTCCAGGTGAGAGGAGGGTGCTTAGAAGTCTTATTTGACATATTCTTTTAATTTTCTTTTTCTAGTGGTGGTCATCAGGAAAACAAAACCAAGGGGAGGCACAAATCAAAACCATAGCAGCAGGAAAATACTAAACAAGCCAATCGGGAGAAGAGAGTCCCATCTCTTCTCTATTCTCTATGTGAATAATACACAAAAGCTCAGCACTGTCACTCCCATGTCAAATTTATATGCACCCTGCATCAACGCTTTCAGCAATTTGTCAGCCTGTGTTGAAGACTCGTGTGCGTGACGGTTGACCCCGGCTGACGTTGCTCCACGCACTGCGATCGTCAGGACACATTCTACACCGAGCTGCCATGCTCAGCTGAGTCATGATGAGTGATGAGAGCAGCTATTCAAAGGGCTGAGCTAATTCGTTTGATGGGAGATTGTTAATTACTCGCTGATGCAGAGGAATGAGCTGTGGAAATGTGCTGCATGCTGTATGTCATTAGGTCAAAATATTTCCAGAAAAACGCAGAAATATTTGGGATTTGTTGTGCCTGCATTGTGTTTTGTCTCTCTAGACGAGACGTTTCTTCATGTACTAATTGACCAGAAGGTCAATTAGTACATTGTAGTAATGTACTAATAATAGTAATAGTAAAGTTTCTGTCTGGAAACTTTACTATTGACTTTACTATTGACTATTTTTTTGACAAACCGTAACCCCCCCCCAAAAAAAAAACAAACTCTAAGTTAATTGTTACTGGGCTGTGTTGTCAGTTGTACATCTTTCAAATATAATATCAGTTTGCTGCAGTTTTTTTTTTACTGGTAAATCATTTGCTGCTTTTTACATTAAATTATAGTAAAGTTCTTTGGCACAGTTTTTACTTGAGTTTGTTTTTGGGTTTCATTTTTTTGTCTGAGGATAGTGTTAATCATACTCATTATTATTTCTTAGATATGTTTTTTTTAATTAATTAATTTTAGTGTTTCGGTTTGCTGCTTAAATATGGTTGTTTTGCATGTCTGTGTTGTCATTTAACATTTGCTGTAATTTTGTTTCACTTTTTGACAAATTTTTAGTTGGTTTTCTTGTTGATTTATTATCTTTTTTGTCAGTTTATACCTTAATATGAGTAATTCTGTTATTTTTTAGTGAACTTCCTGGTCTTTTCTGAATTATTTGATTTTCATTCCCTTATTTTAAACTTTAAAACAAAATGTTGCCGGGCATGCTTTAAGACAAATCAGGGTTGGTAGAGATTAAAAAACATAAGCAAAATAAAAAACAAAAAATTGTGGCAGCAACTAAAAGGGCAGATTGTAAAGTGTAACAGTAAAACAAGCAAACTCTTGAAACATTCATGAGGTTTGCTTTTAATTAGCACCCCAATGGCTGGAGCCATTTAAGACTATTAAGAGACTGAGCAGAATAAAAACTGCAGTCACTGCACAGCCAAAGGAAATAAAAGCAGAACAGTTGTTTGCTCTTATTTATTCACATCTCCTTCTCGTCCCACTGCAGATGCTTGGTGCATTATTAGGAAAGAAAGGTAGGAAACAAACAAAATACAAAACGACGTTTTTGGAGTCTGACAAGATTAAAATGAAATATACTGATTCCAGATTTCAGTGCCACTCTTTGACTGTTGGTAGCAAAATATGAACTAAAGAAGAAATTAAATAAATCTGGAAATCCCTTTAAAAGATGCTCGCTCTCTTTAATTAATGCAATGATGGTAACAAATCTCCTTAAACAAGTTATTTCAGTGGGGCAACTTTTGATAAAAGTAAAAAAGAAAAAAAAGCCCATAATAAAAATGAAACCAGAAGATTGCCTGCTCCGAATAAAATGACAAACTTATTTTCCACAAATATTTAATCTGAAGTTAAATCAAAAAGACAAAACAAAACAAAAAGTTTAACTCCAGAAATCTTAAACAAACTTAGGAAATCCAGCTGACTGTGTTGAGTGACTTGATGCAATTGTGCAATAGAAGTATAAAATTCCCTAAAATGAGAAAAATTTAGAAAGTATCAGTACAGAACATTCTTTCTGTAAAGTTTTGCTGCTTAGTAAGTGTAAAAATCACGTTACTTTCACAACTGAAACGTCACAAGGTTATCAGATAAGACTGGTTATGTCAGAGCGCCCTCTAGCCACAGAGCTGGAGAACACATGCTCGTTTTTTATCTTCAACCTGCCATAAAAAAAAAATATATATATGGCAGGTTGCGTTTAATAACACACCATTTTTAATTTTCTCTATTAGACCTGAAAAGTGTGGGGTGGATTTGTAGCTGTGATAATTGATATATTGTGTGTTCACCGTGCTCATTAGTTTGCTGTAGTCAAAGCTACAATTACAGTCTTTTTGTGTGTCTGTACCAGCTTTGCACATGTAGACTCA